CTTTATTTAACATTAACTTTGGAACTACAGCCTCAGCTAGCGAATATAATTTGATTATAAAAATATTTTTCTTTATTAAAAAAACTTTTTTGGAAGGACGTATATATATAAATGCTAATTTTAAATCTTTTTAATAAAGTAAAGGTCAATAACAGGTAATAGCCTATTTACCATATCTCAAGGAAATTGACTCACAGGAAATCAAATTAACGTTAATCACTTGCAGCAAATGGTCTTTGATAAATCTAACTACTCACTACTGGGGTTAGTGTAGCTGGGCAGGAGGCAGCGCTCACCACCAGCCCGGGCTCAGCTGCGCTCCCGGGAGCCGCCTGCCCGTCACCGCTCCTTCCCACTCGGCTGTGCGAGCCTTGAGGTGGTGTTTTGGTGACCGAACGATTATTTGCATGATTCAATTAGCTTGTGGGTCAGCTTTTCTTATCAACAACTCTTGTATCGGGTTATTTTGTAAAATACCTTTGTTTACCTGTTCTCACCCCCAGGGCTGTGGCCACTCTCCCTCTGCATCCCGTGTGCCCTCGAGCGTGGGTTACTGCTTCTGCTCATGTTTTGGAGCAGACACAACTTCTCGATCAGTTTTAGAATTGAATATTGCTTCTTTCACTACAGGTGGTGCATTTAAATAAGTAAATAACTAGACGTGCATTGCAAAGCCTTCATTATCAGTTAACGAGAGCTGGGGCAGATGGGGACCGTGGACTTCTGAAGACTTCTGTATGCGGAGGACAAAGCACCGACCGATTTGCATTTGCTAATGGAACTCCCCAAGTCCACACGCTCGGTGTTTATGCTCCAGCTCAATGGAAACAGTATTTTAAATGTAAAGTGTGTCAGTGGAGGCGTAGGCAGCGTAATGAACACACAGACGTCCCTCATCTTGATCACATCTCCGCTGGCCACAGGCAAGGACCTGTCACACACTGAGGAGGTTCATAGGAAGGCCATCAACAACCTTTGGGCCGCACTTGCATGCCCCGCGCCCGCTGGGCATCATTAGTGTGCTGCTTTACAGCATTAAGGCTTTGGGTCCCTTTGAATTACAAGTGCAATTTGGCCTTTCCTTACATTGGAGAACAGCCACGTGGTTACATGGCAAATAATAAACATCTTATCCTTAAGGCTCGATCACACATCAGAAAGGTTTACTGCGAGCACCAGCATTAGGATCATGCTGTTGATGGTATTGTGTTTCACCCAGCAGCTACACCCTGAGGGGCCGTCAGAGCCTTGTGCAGGAACAGTGACTCGTGCAAGGATCCCTGCTCCGTGCAGGCACCCGGACGGGGGCTCTGTCCCCCCAGCTGTGCGGGACCTCTGCCGCAGCACCGCGCACCCATCCTGGCACGGGGAGGAGCCCCCCGGCCCTCCTGCCCGTGGGACTGCTCAGTGGCGTGATCCTGATTCCCCAGGCCTGAGCTGTTGGTGCCCGTGAGTGAGTGTCGCTGCGACCGGAGCCACCGCAGCCCCGCGCACCGCGGTGATGGAGGAGCAGAGCCCACCAGCCCCCGGCCGTGGCTCCCACGGGCCCTAGGAGGTGCCAACCCGCACAGAGCACAGCGGGAGCAACCGGGGATTTGCAGCTGGTCCCAGAATCGCCATCTCCTGTGTCCAGCAGCAGCCTGACGAAGGCACCCACTGCCACCATCATCGCTGCACCATGCATCCCGGGGCTGTGACTGGTGTGAGGGTGTTGGGAGAAGAGACCCACGGTGCCCCCCATGCACAGCTGGACCAGCCACTTTTGGGACCAGCCCCAGCTCCATCTGACCCACACCGAGGAGCTGCTGGTGGCCAGGGTGTCCTGCAGGAGGGGTCTTGAGAGGCCCTGCAGCCGGGGAGAACCAGAGCCTGGCACTCAGCAGATGCACCCTGGTTTGTGACTCACAGAGCTACGGGAGCAGCTCCCTCCCAGCCCCAGGAAGAAAAGCAAACCTTCATGTGCCAAAAGCCAAGCAGATGATGATCTCACCTGGTGTTCAGAAGCCAAGCTCTCAGCCCAGTGTGTCTGGCCTTGGATGCAACAAAGGAACTTTAGCCCAGGAAGGGAAGAGTCGGGGAGATTGTGACCTTCAGGCAGGGCAAAATCCATGCCCCACGGGATTGGCTCAGAGGGGGCAGCTCTGCCGATGGTGTGAACTTGGCATTACATGTGTGTTATCCTCTCGCCATGTCTTTTGCAAAGACCACACGGGAGTCGGATGTGAGATGCTGATACCACTATCTCTGCCATGTATTTCCAATGTGATAAAAATAACTCCGAGTAACTGAAGATGTTTCCAGTTTGTGTTAATAAAATACATCTTTTTAAAGAATGGAATTCTTCAAAGATTGGCAAATTTTATTTTATTTCATTAGCTTTAGTGTCACTGCCATATGGACTGTGAAGAAAAGTGAACCATTAGATCAGAGGGACTGAGTTATCAGCATGACACAGAAAGCACTGATACAATTGTTAAGGATAAGCCCTGGGAGTGATTTATTGCATGCATTGTATTAGCCACAGAGGAGTTATGATATGCTCCCCATTCCTGTATCATATTAGGATTTTATTAGTCTAATATGACACGGTAATATAATATATGATTAGAATTCCCATCCAGTTACCCTTCCTTTGGTGGCGGGGTGCGGGAGAGGTTTTGTGTACGACAGCTCTCCCATCGGAGAGGGGACGCCTGGGACAGCGCGGCTGCTGGACTGGTCTCCTGGGCTTTCCAGGCGGGACGTGGGGGCTGCTCCCCCCCTGTGGGCACACGGGGCAGCCGCTCGGACACCGGATTTGTTTTTCCCGTGCACCTGGAATCCAAAACCTCTCAACCTTTCTGCAACGGGTGACAGGGAGGGATGGTGCCGGCATTTAAAACCTCTGCTGACAGCCGTGCCGTAGGTGCTGGGCTGCGTCCCAGCAGCAGCAGGGAAATCAGCTGTGACACGCCAGAGCAAATCTGCCGCAGACACCAGCCCTGCCGAGGTGTCCCCCAGCACCGGTGAAGCCCATCTACCCCCGGGCTCAGCACGGTGGGAGGAGGGATGTGCACAGACCAGGCTGATGGGGAGCCTGTGCCGGGAGCCACGGGTGCAGGAGGGGACTGTGGGATGAGCCTGGGAGGTCTGGGTGAGGCTGCTGCTGCCACGAAATGGCAGCCGAGAGGCTCCTGCAGCCCTTGCTGAGGCCGTGCCAGTGCCCACACCGTGTCTAGTGCAGCCCAAAAGCCCAGGGTGCTGCCCTCATCCACACACACACGGGCCATACTCTCCAAGGGCAGTGGGGCAGCAACCGAGTCCATGGGGTGGGCTGGGCACCGGTGGGGGCCAGCAAAGGGACATGGGGTGATGCTGGCCGTGCACAGCTGGGACAGCCCGATCCAGCCGGACACAGCCTCATGGCCCCCAGCCCTCCCCAGCCCTGGGGCAGGAATGGCTGGGGGAAGGCACTGTGCACTCCAGAGTTGGAGGTGAAGCCAGGGACAGGCTTAGCTCAGGTGCTGGCTGCAGGATGTGCTGACATTACACACTAATTGCTGTGCCTCGTTAACAGGATCACCCTTGCCCCCACATCTCTTCCTGCTGACCCTACCCCACTGAAAACTCTACTTTCCCAACAAACCCCGAAGACAAACTTTTCTTCAAAGTTTCCCTGGTGTCCCCTGTCCATTTGTCACCAAATCCCCCGTTCCGCCCACGACAGGCTCAGGAGCAAACGCCGTTTGTAGCCTCCTTCTTGCCTCCAGCAGCAGCAGCAGGAAAAAAAAGTTCAAGCATATCAGAGTGCTAGTAGGTGATAAATCCCAAAATCTGTATCAAAGCCTATTTGATCATCTCCCTGTCATTGATATAATAAAAAGGATTAATTTATTGGAGACTGCCAAAACCCTCATGTGGCAACAAATTTAAGGAACTTGTTTACATAGGCTAATTAAAACCAATTAATTTCATTCATCTCTGTGGCTAGTAACGTGGGTGCAGACGTGCGTGCTGGTGGAGGGGTGCTGCGGGCACGTGCCTGGCACACGTGGCCATGTCTTGCCTGCACCAGCCACCTTTCCTGGGGCGGGTGGTGGCTCCCTTTGAGGGGGCGGTGGGGACCCATGGGTGTCCCCAAGGACCTCAGCTCTGGGCCAGTGCCCCCCATGGGAAGGGTGCCCTCCTCCTCCCACCTGACATGCTCAGCTCTCCAGGGATCGTGCTTGGGAGCGGAGGGATGGCTGGGGGGGTGTCTCGGGGGTCCCCTCTTGCCGCGGCTGTGGGGCATCTCTGGTGGGGTCTGTTCCCCACCAACACAGAGGCCGCCCACCCAGCCGCTCGCCTGGCCCAGCCACTGCCGGGGCGATGGTGCCCTCCCTGCGCTGAGGGCGCGCTGCCTCCATCGCCCCGCTGCCGGGGAGCCAGGAGAGGCTTCGGGAGAGCAACCGGGGGCATTGCTCATGATTGGAGGTCTGTCTATTAAGATAATAAAAGGCTGTGTTTTTTGTGGTAAAATTCAGCATAAAGAGCACGCGTCATTAAATATGGAAATCCAGAATTTTATTAGCAATCTGCTAGATCTGAACTGACGCCAATTAAACAAAAAAGATATCATTTATAAAAAGGCAGAGTTCAAGTTGTATTAAATATGAAATGCAATTT